TGATACATTCCATAGGTCCTCTGATTTTCAAAATAGAAAAAATATAAAAAAAAAAAAAAAAAAAAAGAGAGACAGAGACAAAAATCCATAGTTTATTTAGGAAATCATTCTAAAGTAATTTAGTAAAGCAAGAATTTACTGGTTTAGATGAATGAATCACTTAGCTCTGCAGCTAATCAGTGAGGCCTCATTTCAGTTACCATAGCTAATTATAGAAGTCTAAAGAGAGTTTCATCCTATTTTTCCAGAAAAATACTGACTTACTCTCAGAAGGACAATATATGTCTGTATATATTTTATCCTGATTTTTCCCACCACTTAACACTCAGCAGGTTAAAATCACCATGCCATTGCTTACTTAGGAGTAAGTATTTTCCTTCTCTTCTTTACATAGGAAGTAGAAAGCCTTAATAAGACAAAAAAGCCTAGCACTGCATGGTTGAATCTTCAAAATTACACAAGATAGAACATTAAGCTCCTTAAAATCAACAAGGCTTATGCTTTGATGGGCTTTTATGCACACAGAAATCCTCCAATCAGGTCTCAAGATAGGAACCTCTGTTTCTGCTGATTATTTACTTCCACAGTAAGGAGTTACATACCTTTGTAAGAAGAGACATAGGATACATTTTCTTTTATCGCTTGTTCTACTGCAAGAGAAACTGTTTCATTGGTCACACTTGAGTTCTCCCGAAACAGGTTCATCACTGTTACAATCGTTTCACTAGCAGCTCTGGATTTTTCTGAAGGTCTGAAAAGTACAGATAGTTCCATTTAAAAGTCTCATATAATCCATATGGATAGCAAAGACAAGAGAAATTTTCTGCCAAATCTCTCCCCTAGCTTATTTCTTCCCATAGCATAGGTAATTGCCAAGACACCTGCAAATGAGTTTGTCTAGCTTAGGAATGCATTAACAGCCATCTTTCTAGTAGATCCAGATATAAATAGGTAGCTGTTGGATTTAATGCTAACAGCATTGCTCCTTCATGTGCTGTTGACACACAGCTGACATTTTTAACTGAGCTAACCTCAAGTTAGGTGCAGTGTGGAGGACTTTATCTGTTAAGCCCTAACTTTCACATGCTTGCATCAGCCTGTGGTGTCACCCAGACATGATGTGGAGAACCCATCCTGAAGCATGGTGAGGATAATTCAGGGTATGACCATAGTGAATTCAGAAGGTTCTGTTTGCAATGTAGAGGTATCTATGCCAACTGCACACTAGCTGGGCTGGATTCAGCTGGACATCAACCTCCCTGGGGTGAGGTGGAGAACAGCAGTGACTACCCTGTTCTTCAGTTAAACTTCATGCTGCTGGGATATGCACATAAATATCTTTAAGTGGCGGATTGCTGTAGTGCCTTGAGATGTTACTGTGCCCTGTGTGTTTGTCACAACTGCTCTGTTGGAAGTTACTGCCCTTGCAACTCTGCTGGAACAACACTCTGCTTAACTGCTTAGTCCATGGGGTTCATTGAAAGGGCTTACACTGCTGTGTGTGCTACCATGCCAGGCTTTGCTTGATGTGGCTTAGGAACCACTCACAAAGAAGCTGGCAGAGCTCTGGGGACAGTAACAGAGCTCTAACAGATGGAGATGGGAAGAGAGAGATATCTCAGTGTCCACCTAGACCAGCAAAGGACCTTATTTCCACAGCTACAGTCACCACAGCTCATTCAATTCAACCTGCTATCAGGAGAGACCAACAAGTGCACAGTGAGATGCATTTTGTATGCCTTCTGTAATAAGGGTGTTTTTTAAATTAATTGGGAGTTCGAGCTGGATCTCCAAGTATTCATAGGAACCCCAGAGTTAACTGTTACAATTTCAGATATATCAGATATTACAGGGGACTGCTAGTTATAGCATAGTGCTATATCCTACATGGTGCTAAAAGTGGGACATCCACAGTGGACCTGTCAGCCAGCCCATTTCACAGACATTTTGGGGGAAAAATGGGGCCAGCATTCCAGAAACCTTAAAAATATGAAAAGAATGTCCTTCTTTAAGGGAAAGCGTTCTGAACTGAACTCATCCCATATATTTTATTGAACTGAGTATTCCGTGGGAAACAGATTAAAATGGGGTGTGTGGGAAACACGTACTGTGCAAAAAAACAAACTGGCAAACTTACTGAATTTCCACGATGACTGTCTGTTCATAGGTCGATAAATTTTTGAAGGCCTTTTCAAACTATAAAAAAAGAAATGAATTGTGGTTAAAGGCAAGCAGAAACATAGACTAAAATCACATGAACCACTGAGGCTTCAGCTGTAAAGTTTTAATCCAGAACATGCTACTATAGGCACAAATAAAGCAAGCTGATCAGTTATATATACTGGCAAGGTGTTGCAGAAGAGGAGTAGTGGGGTGGTGCTGTAGAATATGGGAGGACAGGGAGTATGGGAGAGCAGTGGAGGGATGGAGATTGAATGTCAGGCAGTGCATTAGGATAGCTGGACTAGACTGGACTGGCTGGATAGCTACAAGCACTCTATTGCAAACTCACTGCTTAGGAGGGTGTCTCCTAAGCAGTACCAATCTACGAGAGAGAAGAGGGAGAAGTAGGCATCCTTCCAGATGGCACATGTCCCTGAGATGCAGTGAAATGGGATCATAAGGGGTTGATCTCGTGGGGAGAAGCACAGCACTGATGAAAGCACTGGGAATGGAATGGAGTCAGTAGAAAACTCAGTGCTCTCCCTCATCCCATATGAAGCAAGGAACAGCTAGTGGTGGCAGTTGCCTTCAACTGCCACACAAGCAAGAGACACCATGAAAAAAGGATAGGATGTCTAATTCAACTGAAATGAAAGCTAAACTATCCTTTTCAATAAAATTAAAATAATTTTCTATTCTATTTTCACTTTTGCATTCTGTTACTACATTATGCCTATTCTAGTCCTACATATCATGCTCTTCTATTGCCATGCCATGAACAAATGCTGGACAAAAAAATTGAGGAAAATATTTTTAAACATTCTGGAGGAACAATTTTTGGTCACTTTCTGATAAAACATTCACAGGAAGCAATATAATAACAGGCAGAAATTGATAATCAGTTTTGATGATTTCTGATTAATATCTGGTGAATATTTTTTGATCAGATGTCTAGTAGAGGTGCATATCTCTTCTTCCTTACTACCAGAAAGAGACATAAGCAAATCCACTTGTTTCAACATGGCAGTGTAAATTAAACTGCTCATCTTATTTTTCCAGGAAATCATTTACCAGATTTTATGTACAATCATAGAATGCTCAAAATGTGTAGTATCCATTTAATTAACAGCATTAAAATGCTAATACTGGTAGGCTTATGGAAGAGGCTTGTTATTCAGGTATTTAGAAACAGCTGAACAGCCATTCTGAAAAGTTTGTGCTGTGTGAAAATGATAATTTTCTTAAAAAAAAAAAATTGTTCATTTTTACTCATACCCACTGAGTATTGTTGAGCCTCCAGTGAACAGTGGAGTTCAGAAACTCAGTAGGTTGGACAACTTCACTCAGCCCCATTGTTTCTGGAGAGGGACCGGTGAAAGATGCAGAGCAATTTATGTGAGAACTCCCCAGAATGAAAGTGGTATTAAAAATGCAGACATTACTTTAATCAGGTACTTCCCTGACGGCAAAATTCAAGTCTTTTACAAATAGGTCTAAAGTAGTATGAAGAGTTCTTTGAAAGAAGTAGTTTTCTCAAGTGAAACTCTTCTGGTCTCCACATTAAAGGCAATGTGTGTCCTCTGTCTGTATAACACCCAGTACAACATGAAATATGCAGAAAAAACCAACATTGTCACTCACAAATTCTGATACACCGTTGAACACCTCTTCATATGCTGTGGAATTCACAGTTTTAACACTATCATTGGAGTATTGATTCACACTAATGACCCCTGGGTATACATCCGCTGAAATGAGAAGAGAGAATACAAGTTAGAAAGCATTCAAGAAAGTCAGGTTTCACCTTAGAGTTCTCCAGCCTTCAGTGATGGGGAAATACAATGCGGAAGACAACCATTGCTATTTTTCATATACTGGAGGGATCAGTAGGGAACAAATGTTTGCTCAATCAACTTAGTCACAATGGGGGATTTACTCTGGCTACCTGGGAAGAAGGCAGGATCCTGGGCTCAACCAAATTGTCCTGATTATGAAACTGAATAACATTAAACTGTCAGAATGGCCTAAAACTAAAAGACTCTCTGTGAGGTGTTACAACATTTAATGAGAAAATATGTATATTAAGGACTCCAAAACTGCAGCTACTAAGCAGCTAACATGGTTCACCATATCAGAGAAAGTGATTCAGCATCAACCTGCTTCTTAGGCCTCACAAGTAAATTTGAGAATCTTGCCTGCTGGCACTTAAAATAAGAAGCTCTATTTGCTCACACACGGCCTTCAGCAGCATCTCAGAGAAGCATTTCAACAGGACTGTGATGAGTGTTGGGGAAGTCAATCTGGTTGTTCAGAGGTCTTCATGAGTTTGGACCTTTTTAAATCCTCACAACTGATATTGATGTCAGGTTTACACTTGCATTTTTTCCTGCTTTTCACTCATTTCAATCTCCAGCACCCCTGACAGAGAACTCACCTTTTCCTAGAACCTTAACCTCTTTGGCTCTCACTCTTTTGTGAGGTAACAATCTAGGTCATTGTAGCAGTGGCTATCTGCAAAGCAAGGAATTGCTGAGCAGTCACTTTCCCAGATTGATTATGTTTTCAGTTATAACATGAAAACAAGGGATATGGGAAGAAAAATTCACCTGAACAGGCAACTGAAAACATAGATGCCCTTCTGCAAACTCACCTTTGTAACAATTCTTATCCTCCTTGCTATAGTAGAATCCATAGTCACACTGGCAGGTATAATTGCTTTTTAAAGAAACACATTTAGCAAAATTTCTTCCACAAGGGTCTGAACTGCAGAAGTTCTCTGATACAAAAATGAAAGACATTGACCTTAGTATTTCTATGAAATTGCAATAGCCAGTTCACATGTAAAATACTTCATATATTGAATAGTTCATGTGTACTTCTACTAAAGGAATCTACCAGGTATGTTTTAGAGAGTATAGATGCAAGTACAGAGCACACAGCTGTATGTTGCTTGCTTAATGTCCATATAGTAACTGTTTTCCCTATACAATCCAGCAGGATATCACAGTGAGGACTTGGGCTATGGCTGAATTTCATTATCTGTCATATTGAGCATTCACAACTCATCTCTACTTAATGCAGCTAAAACCAAATCAAACAAAGAAAGTATATCAAGGCTTGTCGAAGTCAGTGACTGTTAAAAAAAGGCAGACTACAATAGCCTGTGAGTCTTTAATACCGCACTGGTGCATACTTGCCTTATTATGACACAGTGTCATGGCATGGTCCATAACTGCAGACAGATTATTAAAATGAGGACTCCAAAGTTAATTATCATGGCATATTTTCTCTGAGTAATTGTACCTTCTGTAAAGATTTTAGAGTATATATTTTATATCTATCACTAATTTAAATGGTTAAGAAGTAATTAAAAGTCATATTTCAATATAAATTATACATAGGATGGTATTACAGTTCTCTTCCAAGACAACAGATTCTGCTTTTTACCCTGCCTGGTATCTTTCACTTAACTCCATAGGTATGTTCCCGTGGATAAGACATTTTCTGTGCAATGGGGAAAAAAATAGTAACTCTTATTCAACCTCCAAAAAGCAAAAAGAAAAATATTGAATGAAGCTACAACACCTATAAGGTTCATCTTCAGATATTGTTTCCAGAGACCCTACTGAAGCCAATATTTTCTCCTGATGGAAGAGATCCCAAGTAGAAAGAAACAACACTTGTGAAATCATCTAAACACAATCCACTTTCAGCAAGAGCCAGCAGGGAACAGTGGTGGGAAGACACAGTATTAAATGAGGACATATTGTCTACTCTGGAATGCCCTAGCGGGATGGGGGATGGTGGAGTATGGAGAACACCTGGGAAGGAAAGATGTACAGTTCCCCAGACTCAGTCCCTGGGCTCAGCCCTGTGCTGCTGTGTGCCCCAACTCCCTCCCTGCCCGAGCTCCAACCAATCTAAGTCACAGCTACCGG